GAACTGCTTAATCCCTTTCAATGTTTGTGTGCTTGCATGAATCATGTCTTAAAACAGGCACATGCTATTTGAAATAACACTTGCTGAAATAAATGGGAGGTTACACAGAGACGCATATAATTTAGTTTTGCCAAGTGCTGATCCACAACCCAGTGAAAGTTCAGGAGTCGAGCAATGGCTTCACCTGGCAGCTTACCTAATGTGCTGGGCAGTGTCCTTCTGGGTATGTGTTACTTGTTAGTGCCAGGAAACAAGGATATGTTTTAGTTGGAGCTCTGTTACAGCAGGCACTACATAGTTTAGATTAACTCCTTTCAGTAGTACAGCATCAATGTGTTATTCCCTTAACATAAAACATACAGATTATGTAAATCTGTAATAAATACTATTTTGAAGTGTATAGTAATCAGAAATCTTTCAGGGCAGGATGGAATGGAAACTGAGAAATATTGGAGAGTAAACATTCCAACGCTCATTCCTCTGCTTCTCCCTGGCAGAGTGGAGTGCTCGCTGTAGCTGGGCTGCTCATGTTCCAGAACTAGGGTTTGTCCTGCGAGTCTCGCACAGCGTGGACTTTCTAGGAAAGCTAGGGCCAAGTGATCCCACGGGAAGCATTTCTCCTCTCTCTGCGGACCCTGTTGCACTGTTTGTAAATGGGAGCGTTTTTTCCTGGTCAGAGGGAAGCCCAGCCCTTTTTGTACCTCCTCGCTGGGTGCAAACTGGGTACGTGCCGTCATTCACGCTTGCAAGGCCAAGCAATCCGAGAGACAAAAAGCAGCAGAGGAAGAGAGTCCATACAACGTGCTTATAACGTGTTTAGCATTCCAGACCCTAATGACTGTGCTGAGCTAAAGAGGGCAACATAGCCCCTGGAGTCCGTCAGTAACTGGCACATTTCTGCATTTCCCTCACATTTGCAGGCCTGGTCTGGGGCTTCGGCAGTAGGTTGTATCTCACTAGGCAACACTGCTGCGTGCCGGCTATCGTCTGTCCTCTTGCGGGGAAGAGAGAGCCGGGATGTCAGCATAAGGAACTGTCGCGAACCGACGATTTATTTAGTTTTATGTGGGGGGAGAAAACGGACCGTTCTCCACATCAACCCACAGGACTTGTACGAAGAGCTCCTCGCCTCTGGCCCTTGAGAGGATGCATACTGTCGGGCTCCTGGAAGCCTGGGCATCAAGGGCGAGGTCTGAAATCTACCACTGATACCTACTAGCCTGCCAGATCCCCTCGGGTGTTTCCTTCCCCGCCGCGCGGTCCCACCGGGACTCTCTCTGGGTTACCACCTATGCCGGGCGTTGTGCTGCCTGCTGCGGAGGGGCCTGATTGTGTTGAGCTTGCCGTGCGGCCAGCGAGAGGGAGGGGTCGCGGCAGGCTGGAGGAGGAGGGAGGAAGGGAAGGAAGGAGGCCGGGCTGATTAGCATGCAGCAGCGCTCGCAAGCCCGGCTCCATTGTTTTAACACCTCCCCTCTCCTCCGCGCCAATCTGTCACCGTTCATCA